TAGTCTCTAAGGTGCCACAAGTACTCCTGTTCTTCTTTTTGCGGATACAGACTAACACGGCTGCTACTCTGAAACTTAGACCTTCTGTCTGCCTGGGAAGATGCCAGGGGCAGCTGGGGGTTGTGGTAGAGTTGTGAACAGGGGGAGGTGGAGATCTGGTTGTATCATTACTGCTTTAGCATTTATCAGTAAACTTCAACCCTTTCCTTCCCTTGAGCCTCTGTTTCTTGTCCCATTAAAGTCCCCTTAGTCACATTGTTACTTTTGGGTGGGATCTTTCATGTGTTGGGGTTTGTATTATTGTGTTTTCTTCCTTGCGTGCTGGGTCCCACTCCTGGTTAAGAGGAGTGGGGTTAGTCACTTTCCCAAGGGACAGCCCCCTCGTGTCCCAGGCAGAGAGGAGTCACCTTGCGGGGAGGCACCAGGCATTGCAACAAAGAACCCAGGACTAGCCCTGCGAGGAGGGTGGAGAAGCTGCTCCGATTAGCAATAGCAAGGCCAGGGGGAAGGCTGGAGCCATGCCTTGGGGGAAGAGCTACAGAAGTTAAATAAAATATGCAAAAAGAGACAAATCCCCAGGGGAAGGGGGGCAGGGGTCTGCCTGCAGGGGAGCGAGGAGTGAGTAGGGAAAAGCTCTTCCCTGAACAGCGCAAGCAGCTCTCTGCTTCCCTCCAGCTGGGCACCATGCTCTGCAACCGGCACGTTGGCCAGCCTGTCACAGCCTCTGGGGGTTTTGTCTCAGTTCCTCATCCGATCGCACCATTGTGTTGAGCTCCCCCACTCCACGCAGCACAGTAATAACCAGCATCATCCTCTGCTAGGGCCCCAGCGATGGTCAAGGACATGGTGTTACCAGACATGGAAGCAGTGAAACGCTCTGGGACACCAGCAGCTCTGGCACTAGTGCCTTGTATCAGCCGTCGGGGAACATTCCCCGGTCTCTGTTGAACCCAGTGTGGGAAGCTGTTCTCAGTGATGGCTCCACTGCTCAAGCTGCAGGAGAGGGTCACGGTCCCTCCA